CAGGTAGAAACTTGTAAAACATAGTAAAAGGACAAACACTAAAAAACAGTTTAGGGAAGGCAATGAACGTACGTGAAAAGGGAATGAGGCCTACAGCGCGGCATAATCCTTAGCCAAAGTCTTCCCTACTTGGTATAACATCTTGTATTTATCCATCAAAAACCGTTGCTCCTTTGGGTTCCTCGACTTGATTTTTTTTGTCAAGTTGTCGCACTCGGCACCCACCGCGTAACACATAGAGCACGGCCGGTTGCTACCGTGCTGGAATGTGCTTGCCACCTTGTAGCTTTCCGGGTAGTCGCAAGGATATCTATAGAACAACGGCCTCACAAGGCGTTTGACCCCTAATGGGTCAGACCACACACAACTCACTTCATTGCAGGAAGGCACAAGACGGAAGTCAATGTACTAGTAATCTGAGACAAATGAAAATCCAGGGAGTGCTGTTCAAAAACTGACTTGTTGCTGGCATCGATGAGTGGCTGGAGGACGATCTGCATGCATTTCAAAAACAGCTCTGTCTTGACGTTGCTTCTCCATTTCGAATGAGGCAGTGGCAGCATTGCCACCATTTTCTTTGCACTCGTTTTCCAACGATGTTCAACAACAATATTCCCGAGTGAGAGGACAACGGGCCAGACCTTCTGTGTGTCGTTTTTGCTTAGTTGCGTGACGTCCGAGTACACTATGAGCGCAGCGATGACCTCTTCTTTGATACGAAGTGCCTTCTGCAATATTTACAAGACAATGTAGATGGTTTTAAAGCAGAGGAACCAACGTTGCCGAGCTCTACTATCACTCTGACCCTCCCTACACACTCACATCCGAGCTCACCTTTCGCTCTGACCCTCCCTATACAGTCACATCCGAGCTCACCTTTCACTCTGAACCTCCCTACACACTCACATCCGAGCTCACCTTTCACTCTAACACTCCCTACACACTCACATCCGAGCTCACCTTTCACTCTAACACTCCCTACACACTCACATCCGAGCTCACCTTTCACTCTGACCCTCCCTATACACTCACATCCGAGCTCACCTTTCACTCTAACACTCCCTACACACTCACATCCGAGCTCACCTTTCACTCTAACACTCCCTACACACTCACATCCGAGCTCACCTTTCACTCTAACACTCCCTACGCACTCACATCCGAGCTTACCTTTCACTCTGACCCTCCCTATACACTCACATCCGAGCTCAACTTTCACTCTAACACTCCCTACACACTCACATCCGAGCTCACCTTTCACTCTAACACTCCCTACACACTCACATCCGAGCTCACCTTTCACTCTGACCCTCCGTATACACTCACATCCGAGCTCACCTTTCACTCTAACACTCCCTACACACTCACATCCGAGCTCACCTTTCACTCTAACCCTCCCTATACACTCACATCCGAGCTCACCTTTCACTCTAACACTCCCTACACACTCACATCCGAGCTCACCTTTCACTCTGACCCTCCCTACATACTCACATCCGAGCTTCCAGAGCACTTCATCCACACATCCGAGCCCTGAATACAATCCTTACCATTGCCTTTCACTCACCTGGGCATCGAGCCACCAGTTGCAATGTTGGGGGCTTGTATAAATCCTCTTCCCATTGCGTTTTTCTTTTTTTTCTCGGGTACAGTGCGAATCCTTTTTGGTTGCACCGGTCTTAACAAATCGCCTGCACCATCTGGAAAACACGCAAGACAAAAAACGATCATTAAATCACGGCCAAATAGATTCTCTGTAGTGAAAGAGCATCACTCCCCGTGACCTACCTTGAGAGTGTCCGTGTATATAGACTTCAAGGGCACATAGACGGGTCGGCCATTCTCCAACACCCCTGGGACCTCGACCATTGTCGTCTTCCACTCAGGCGCTTTCGAGCCCCAGTTGTCCGCAGCCCACTTTTGCGCATCTTTTATGCTCCGCCGGCCTTGGAGTTCCCCGGAGTTAAAGCCAGGGTGGCATATGACCCGCAAAAACCGCTTGCTTTCTTCAACGGTCATGCCCTGCCCTTCACGAAAGCTTTGCATCAGTAACACCAGCTCTTTTCGTGTGTCGAAGATTCCAGGCCCCCAATCGAAGTCAATCGGCTCTTGAGAGGCGTCGGGCTGAAAGGCGAATTGCTCTTGCTCATTCGTTGGCGCATCAAAGTGTGGCGCAGTGTGAGCCTCTTGTGCGGGGCTAGTAGGAACTGCCGGATCGTCAACCCGCCTACGCTTGTGATGATGGCATGCGGGTGGCGGATCCTTATGGATCTTTCCATATTCGGTAGCCTTAAACGGGCCGTTCTCGTAGCCCTTGTCACGAAGGCGAGCTTGATGCAACCTACACTCTACGTTGTTGGTCTGATGAGACTTCAGAGAACGGTGCGTCTGGAAGATTTTTGCGCACCATGCACACAAGATAAGTGATAACATTACTAAATAAGGTGCTCTCAGAGTTGCTGCCATAACAGAGGCAAATCTGAAGCCGTTGCTGGCTTCCTATCCCGCAAATTCTGAGAAAGGGACTGCGGAAATGAAGGCATTGCAAGCCTTCGCGACTTTTATGAGGATCGATCGGCATGTTGTGAAGTAGAAGCAAATAGAGACGACAGTGCATCAAATCTCTAGCGATCGTTCTTCCAAGTGCACGACCCTTGGCGTCTTGGCGGTCGAAGTCCTACTAGTGCGCTTCGTGGTAAATCGTAAAAGATCGTGCCTCATCGGTAAGAATTTGTGCCTGTTGAAGTTGGCAACTTAGTGAGTTCAAACCTTTGAACTCGCTCCGTTTTAAGTTTTACACAGGTTGTTTCAAAAACTCACACACTAAATAGAAGAGCCAGGAAATTGATAATTCACAACTTTACATTTCATTCCACAACCATTTGCACGAACCATTTGAGCTTAGAAGAGGTGTTTCTCTATAGTATCGCATACCGTATACCCTTGAACAAAACCCACAGGTGCGCTTCTAATTCTACAGGCTCAAATCTTTGGTGCACCGTCTCGGAAGGGGTCACCGTTTTAAGTCATTTTACGCATCCAGACTTTCTTTGTTGTTCAGCTTGGTGTGGTTGTCCTTGACGTTGTCGCTGTTGTTGTCACTGTTGTTGTTGTCACTGTTGTTGTTCTTGCCGTTGTTGTTGTCGCTGTTGTTGTTGTTGTCGATGTTGTTGTTGTCGCTGTTGTTGTCGCTGTTGTTGTTGTCGCTGCTGATGTTGTCGCTGTTGTTGTTGTTGTTGTTGTTGTTGTTGTTGTTGTTGTTGTTGTTGTTGTTGTTGTTGTTGTTGTTGTTGTTGTTGTTGTTGTTGTTGTTGTTGTCGCTGTTGTTGTTGTCGCTGTTGTTGTTGTCGCTGTTGTTGTCGCCGCTGTTGTTGTCGCCGCTTTTGTTGTCGCTGCTGTTGTTGTCGCTGCTGCTGCTGTTGTTGTTGTTGTTGTTGTTGTTGTTGTTGTTGTTGTTGTTGTTGTTGTTGTTGTTGTTGTTGTTGTTGTTGTTGTTGTTGTTGTTGTTGTTGTTGTTGTTGTTGTTGTTGTTGTTGTTGTTGTTGTTGTTGTTGTTGTTTGTTGTTGTGACTTGTCGTTGTCGTTGACGTCGTCGCGCCGTTGCCCTCGTCGGCACACTCGTCCTCGCTGTTGTCGTCGTTGTTCTTGTTGTGACAATTAATTTGTACGTTTTGCTGATTGATGTTGTGACCACTTGTGTCAAAGGCTGGACGAGTTATGCTAGCGTGATTGTTTCTTGCTTGCTGGGCACACTAACCTTTATATAGCCTATGGGTTATTGTCAAATTGTATGTGCTACATTTGTGTTGTTACGATGGATGTCATTGGTTAGGGTTAGCTATTAATACCACTTGCAACTTAGTCATACCGCTTGTTCTACGTCTGAAAGTAGCATAGTCACAATACCATAATTTATTAGTTTAACTAAAGCTATATCATCATGTTTATAACTGTGTTTAACCTTCGAAGTTATTCCAAACCAGAATCATACCTTGATTTGATATTGCACCTCACATGACGGTGCAGATCGTTAGCGATTGCAACGCTTTGTTGGATCATTTTGTCGTTACTCAGATTACGACAAATTTCGGAAGTGGCTGACTAGAACAGCACATGGCTTGGTTGGGAGTATTGTCAGTATTCCTCGCTTCACACTTGGTCCAATTTTGGCGTAGCGAGCAACATCGACGTCGACCAACACCTTCCATTCGCGGAAATCACAAGTTTCCTGCCAACACGAATGTGACAACGAATGGGTGACGCGTTTGAACTAGGCACGTACTCATTTCCGCAGAGGAAGAAATCACACTATGTGTGGTTGCAATCACACTTCCCCATAAATCGTCCTCGTAACACTGTTCCTCTCCTTACTCGCAAGCTTTCATTGACTAGCTTAGACGGTTTCGACGGTTCCGATTTGTTGTTGCCAACTGATCGTGTGGACCATACTTCTTCTTCATTCGAATGTTCAAACCAAGGCAGTTTAAACACTCAAACCATCGCCTCTACTGATAGTTAGAGCACAGAGGAGGACTTGGCTTTGTTTTCCTCACTTCCCAACTCCTCCTGAAGCTCTCGTGCCAAAATAAAGTTCACATTTGGCACCAACACTGGAGGGTTAGATGCTAAACGCTCCTCTGATTTGTGGTTAGCTCGTATTGTGACAACATGTCGAACCAACTCCTCGCCCAGACTTTCACAGTAGATAGCAGAGCTCGTAGCAGGTGGCGTTTTCAGCTGCCTAGGCGCTCAATCACATGCCAGCAGAACATCACTACACCTGCCAAGCGCCGCCGATCACCTGCCCATCCTTGCCTCTCACCTGCCCAAATGTGGCGCTCACCTGCCCTTTGGCGCCAATCACCTGCCCTTGCAGGAACTGCAGTCTATAGGCCGAGTTTAACTACTACTTAAGTCACAACTCACCGGGGATTATTATCATATTCATCCGCCTCCTAGTTCCTATCTTTCTCGGTACGGTCTTCACAACCTCCAGAACTATGGCTAATGTCCTTGCTATCCGTAGCGAGGTGACAGGCAAGCCCCCCATCAAGATGACCCCCAAGATGCAGGGAGCTGGGGGTCTTGGTACCCGATTGAGTGGCGGTGTCAAGAAGCGCAAGACTGCTGGCGGTCGACTGATCCAGAATGTGCACAAGGATGGGGGCGATTCTGACAGAGATGATGTCGACAATGTTGCGGGCAACACCACCATTGTCTACGCCTCTGCTGCCGCAGCTGACCCGTCTAGCGATACTGGTGATGCCGCTCCTTTGGGGGTCCAAGTCCATGCTGACGACTTCAGTGATGAGGAGCATGACGAGGAAGAGGAACGCACAAAGACGCAGAAGGAAATGATTGGTAAGAGGCACTGTTACCACTATCGTGCTTGCATTCTAGCTCTAACCGTAACACACTTTTGAACCACTATTGTGCTTGCATTCCAGCTGTAACCGTAACACACATTGTCTGTGCCGCAGGGGACGGGCGACAGGACATGCTTAACAACATCACCGAGCGTGATGGGGCGTCGCTTCCCTCTCAAAGTCCTGCTGAGAGCCCACTAGAGGGTGTTGCCGCGGCATCTGACCAGGCTGCTAACGGGTGGCCTGCTGAGTTGGAGCGAACCACACAGCAGCAGCCACTGCTGATTTCATCGCTGTTGGAGAAACTTAACAACGGGTCCTGCTCGAACCTGGAGAAGGGTGCGGTGGGTCCTGCCTCGGGGTCTCCAAGCACCAATGGAACTCCGCGATCAGCACCAACATCGCAGCGCGCTCATGTCGCCACACCAGAACGCAAAATGCTGCAGCGCCCGACGTCCGACCGTGCTTCCCCTGCTGTGCCGCGGAAGCGGAAGTATCCAACAATGAAGAACAATGGTAACATGTGCGACGTCGTCCTGCACACGTCACTCAGCGGTATCCCGTTGAGGGACCAGATCCTCATGCGCCAATTGCCTGCCTATGGCAAGGCATGGAACGTAAGTACCATATCAAAAGTGTGGAATGGGGGTTGATGGGTTGTGTTTGTGTGGGGTGTGGCACAGGGGCGTTGCTGTCTTGGTATTGGAATCATGATAACTTCCACGCATGCCTTGCTTTTTGTACATCCCCTCTTCACCCTTCCCTCACACCCCTCCCTTTCTGGCCTTGTTTTGTTTTTATTCGACCTTTCTTCTCGCCTGCTGATTTGCCACGTTTCCAATTTTCCTCTTCTGCCCATTTTTGTTTTCTGCATTCCCATTTACCAGAAAAAGATGGAGCTTGCTGTGGTTGTGGCGTTTTTTCGCCAACCGGACGATGTTACGAGCGTGTACCCATCAGAAAGCGTGGTGATGCGGTGCCTCATCGGTGTTTGGGGCGAGAGCAAGGCTGCCGCGCTGGCAGCAGTAATGATGTACTGCGTGGCGCGGGCAGGCGCTTCAACGCGCAAGCAGAGTGATTGCGTGCGCGGATCTCGATGAATGGGCGCCGAAATTTTGCTGACGCTGTTAATATGATTTCACAGACAGGCATTTGCTTTTCATCTGAACTGTAAGATTTGCAATTTTTATTCATCTGAATTTGCAGACTTGCTTATATGTTTCGTCTGTATTGGCAGACATCTCGTTTTTTTTCGTCTGATACTGACAACCTGGCCCACTAGCCCACAGACCCACGCGACCACTAGCCCATTACCTTCACATCGCATTTATGATACACCCTGCCAGCACATATTTGCTGCCACTGCCATCTGTCCCTGGCAACTTCTGACTCAGAAGTTGCCCGACATTCACCGCTGGCATAGAAGATGCCAAACGGCTGGGCGGCAGGATGCTGCCAGCGCATACGAGCGACATGGATGGAACCTTCATGCAGCCACAGTCGACATCAGAGGGTGCGCGTCGCCATGGGGACTCCACGTTATTGAGGTGGTTCTTCCATCTCCACTCCACCCAGCCTAGTTCCGCAGTTCCCTATAGTCGAAACCAGCAGACACAACAGTCTAGGAGCAACGACTTCGTCATGGCGTCCGATGGGCGCTCTGAAGCACCTCCCATATCCCCTAGTAGTGCCTCACCAGTTAATGCCGTCGCTACAGAGAAGCGAACCGGCCTCGATTTCTTGACGGGGCTTAGCATCCGACCCAAGCCGACGGTAGCACCAGGGAGCGCCGAACCTGCTGGCGTCAAAGTGCCCCTCACAGCCGATGCGCCACCATACCCTTTTACACCCATCGACGATGAGGATGTCTGGAAGCCGTCCTCCCCTGCACCCTCCCCGCGCCCGTCTTGTGTTGCCGCTAGCTCTCCCGTTCGCTCGCCCACGGTTATTTTGTCACCACGCACAACCGCTGCTTCTAAACCTCCTCTCCTGCCATTCCTTCCTACTCGTTTCCCAGGTTCTAAGAAGTACAAGCAACCGACACTCCCATTCAGAAGGCAGTCGACCACCACTGCTCCAACACCTGACGTGGTTGACAACGACACCACCCGTGCAACTCCTCCCTTGGATGATGGGCCGTTCTTCCGGTCTGTTGAAGAACTTCAATTGAAGGCCAAGGGGCAGTGGTCACGACATTTTCCGTGGCTCGTCATTTCGAAGACAAGCGAGGGACGACCGTGCATGAAGTGTAAGGTGTGCATCGCTTACGGCGATCCTGACTACCAGTATGGGAGGAACGGTGAAGGCGGGATTGACATACAGAAGCAGACGATGCGGAAACATCATCACAGCATCAAACACGAAGCGGTGGTGGAGAGGAAGGAGCTACGGGAAGGGAACAAAACGAGGTAGCTGACGATTGCAGGGTTTGCAAATGGCGACACTGAGGCTAGTCGCCTCATGAAGTTGCTGTTAATCGCTCACTTCATCTGTAAAACTAACGCTCCCATTGCCCTGTTTATGTCACTGGTGCAATTCATGGAAGAGATGGTGACTCCGGATCTCCCATTGAAGGACCACGGGACGTACATCAACAAGTAAGTGGATCGTAAACATGTCAGCTGTACTTCAACTTACATGGATGAACTAATTTACTCGTATTGTCTTTTGAGTGTGCAGGTACGGCTTCAAGCAACTCATGGAGACGATGGTGTCTTTCTTGAAGGCCTCACAACTGCGTCACATCCAAGAGAGTCCCTACCTTGGTATTCAACTCGACGAGAGCACAGACAGGCGGCGCGGGAAACATATGATCATATATATCACCTTCTTACGGCAATGGAGCGTCGTGACCGAGTTCTACGCCAATCTCTCTGTTGACAAGTGCGACGCGTCTTCACTGTTCCTCGTCTTGTTGACTCACCTGGAAAGCAACGGGGTGGAGCTCGCGAAGATATCCAGCATATCCACAGATGGAGCGAGCGTGATGACCGGCGGTAAATCTGGAGTGGTGGCGCGGCTGCGTACGCGTGTACCGCACTTGGTGTCTTGTCACTGTATTGCGCACAGGTAGGCCTCTCGGTTTAAATTTTGACATTCCCTGTTTTTATTTATCAAGATGTGCTAACTGCTATGTTTTGTTCACTGCAGGGAGGCTCTTACCGCGAAGGATGCTGCCACTTCTATCCCGGATCTCGGGATTATCGATAAGGTTGTCCGCAAAGTCTCTGATCTCCTCGGCCGATCTAGTCCTAAGCACTCTCGTTTCATGCAGCTGCAAGAGGTGGTGACAGAGACTAACCTGGAGATGCAGGGTATCAAGGACGTAAGGTGGCTGTCTCGTGGTGACGCCGTAGAACGGCTCGCGGACGTTTTCCCTGCAGTGGTCTTGCTGCTGTACGAGTATGACAAGAAAACGTACAACATCGTCACAAGCTTCAAGTTCCAATTCCTTCTCTATTTCCTTACTGATGTGCTGAAGGAGTTGAACTACCTCAACCTGAAGTTTCAACGACGTCAGGTGAGGGACTTGTGCCCTTCAGTAGTTTTACTGTAAACCCTTGGGTTTCGCGACATTGTTCTAATCACAGTTTCATGTGTGACTTAAACCAACCCCACTTCGACAGGTTGACGTGACAGTGGTTCAGCCAGTTTTGCAGCACACGCTGAACACCCTAAGTAGCCGATACATCGATTACAAGGATGCGTTCGGCGACAACAGTGGCAGGTTAGCAGTGTTCCTGCAAGAACATCAGAGTCGCCAGCAGCGCTTTGTGAAAGTGGAGGGTGTTGATTCAGACGGCACGCCCACCACCCACACATACGAGCTGCACGAGAAGCACCTGAAGGGGCGGACCAGCGGGTCGGACCTGCAAGAATGCATAAACCTCGCCAGCGAGTTTGCCAAGGAGGTTGTCTTCAACCTCACTGATCGTATGAAGGATCTGTCGTCACTGAAAGGAGCTCGACTCTTCCGTCAGAGTGCTTACCCTAGCACGCGGGCGAGGCGTGAGGTAAGGTTACCTCAATGGCTGCAGGTACTCAAGGATATCTTCAAGAGAGAGCCGGGTGATCCTGACACACTTCCGGGTGAGTAACCAACGTTTGAGCCTGGACTTTTTATACATCCTCTCCCCCTTACCTTTGTATGATGCAAACACTCCACGATACATTCGTACGGCGTACTCTCTCTCTCCCCCATACCTTTGTATGGCATACTTTCTCCCCTTTACCTCTCGACGTGCGTTCCCTTTGCATCCCGATCAACAGGCACCCACTGGGGCAAGGCTAAGAAGGAGCTGTGGAGTTTCACCAGCATTCTCGCGACCCACCACAAAGACCTGAGCTTCCACGACAGTCTGAAGCACATGCTCTCAAGTGACGATTGGTCCACAGCCTACCCGAACCTTGTCAGGTTGTGGCTTGCAGTGGCTGTCCTCCCGCTCAGCACAGTGGAGTGCGAGAGGGGGTTCAGCCGGCAGAATGTGATCAAGAGCTGGATGCGCAGCAACCTATGTGACGCGACGCTCGGCGAGTTGATGACCGTGTCGCTGCTGGATTATGAGATTGAGCTGCAGGCGATAATGTCGGTGTGGCACGGGAGCAAGAAGCGCCGGCCAGCGAAGGAGGTCGTGATGGCGCAAGCAGGGCGAGCGGAGAAGCGGGCCAAGCGGGCAACATCATCGACTCAAGCATCAGCAGCGGCAGCATCTAAAGCAACAACTGCCGCAGCAGCAAGAGCTGCGCGTGACGCAGAGGCGGACGCGACAAGGGAGAGAGAAGAAGTAGCGGCCGAAGAGGCCCGCATCCCCGTGTGGAAGAGGAAGAGCAAGAGCAAGTGTTAGAGGATGAGGATAAGGATGATTGTTCTGTTAGTTCTAGTGAGTCTGACGATGATACATAGTAACTTGTTATGATAGTTTATGTTATGCTGCCATTCAGACTGGAAATTATGTTTCGTCTGAAAAAACAGACCAGGTAAATGAACTTCGTCTGTACTGACAGACTGCGCTTTAAATTCCGTCTGATGATAAGACTAAAGCTAGAAAGCCCGTCTGGTTGTCAGATGAGGTTTTTGACTAGCAACGTCCCTGCTCGTGGGCTGCTAAGGGCGGCGCGATGAGCTGTTAGGGGCGGTGCCGCGGCCAGAAGGGCGGTGCGTCAGTAGGGTAGGGCGGCAGGGCAGCTAGTAGGGCAGCTCTGTGGTGGGCCCTAAAAATAATTCGGTCCTAGCGAAGGATCTGCTCTGAAACCATGTTAAACTAACGAATGAGAATGATTGAATTGAGCAGAAGTTGGGTACAAGTGCTAACCCTAATTGGGTTGTACCCAGGGCTGACTTTATCAGACTAAAATAGTCTGATTGTCTGAAATCTCAGGGTATTTTCCTACGGATCCTGATTTTTCAGACTTGTAAGATTTTCAAACATGAGTGCCTCAGACTTACTTGGTTTTGGATCCTGAGATTTTCAGAGTACTGACTTAGCCGATAATGGGTCTTCATACTACAGGGAGTACGGATCCTGAAATGCGGATCTGTGATTTCTACGTACATTCCGCTACGTCATATGTTGCCAGTGTACGAACACACTTCATGGCGCTGTCACGCGCAGAATCTGTCCTTGGCAACTTTTGCCACCCTTTTCCCTTAGAAATCTGCCAACTTGGCTCACTCTTCCACTCACGCGGGACCATCACTGCAGCTACGCGGTGTCAGCGAGGGAAACTGGTTAGCGTTGCGCCCCACGTGCTACATTTGTGGCAGTGCTGTACTGCAGTGGTTGTAGTGTGTTCTGAGTACTTCAGACTTGTGTTTTTGCGGAACCTGAAAAATCAGAGTGGCCATTCTCTGGGAAATATGCCTCAGACTAAAAATTTTCAGAGCCCCCAGAACATCAGACTGGATTTTTTTGAATAGTCAGCCCTGGTTGTACCCCTTATGGGCTACCCCAGTATAGCCTACACAAAGTAAGCAATATTATAATTTTTAAACACACATAGTGTTTTTCAAAATTGTGTATTGTGAAAGCGAAGCTGCTTGTATTGCACAATTGGCATCGTCGAAGCGCGCTAAACGCCCTTCTCCAACTACAAAAACCGT